TTCCCTGAGTCTCTGGAAAACTTACATACATATCCCTCAAAGTTCACGTTCCATTTTTTCCTACAAACTTACCAAGAAGTAATTCACTGACTTACAATTCCTTGGCTTGAGATCTATCTCATGGCATATCTGATTCTCAATGGCTTCAGATGACAATGAGATGAGTGGTTGATTAGCCAATAAACTGTGATAAGAGATTATCTTCTGTTGATTCACAAAGTAGAGAAACTCTTTTGCCTCTGAATCAAAAGGTGATTTTAGCCAAAAATATTGTTCTACTGAAAAGTGTTTAAGAATAGGCATTGTAAATTTTAAAAAATACATAAAGAAGATGATTGGCAAAACATGACTTCAGAAGAAAGCTGAAAGCTGTGAACCAGGCTTTAACTTATGATCTAACTGGATGTGTTTTGGTGGTTGCCTATACCCAGCCCATAATGAAGGCTCTCTTCTGAAAAAGCAGATCACTTATCACTTACACTATTCATTTATTTATTCAACAAATAACTACTAAGTGCCTTCAATGGTCCGGTTCTATTCTGATCAGGAGCACAATGGAGAACAGGACAAAGCCTCTGACCTCAAAGGTAATGAAAGAGACAAAGAATAAACAAGAACCTTATAATGTAGAACCTTATGTACACTAGGGGGAGAATGGGGGGAGTCCAAAGAAAAAGTACTTGCCTTAAAGAAACTTGTTTCACTTTTGGTCTCATATTCATCTTCCCCAGTGTTACTAAAAGCTTCTTGAAGGCAGAAACCATCTTTTATAAGTCTGCATACCTGCAGTGACACATCTGTAACAATCCATCTCTAGACATCAGCTAATGGCTTGTCAAATACTGAAACAAAATGAGGTAGTGGAGGTAGAAAGTGTGTCTACATTAATTTTTGCCTCCCACAGAGGTCTTGGTTTCTCATCTGTGTGTTAAACCATCACTACCTTCTTATGCTTGCTGAATATATGGGTAGGAGGAACTCCTGGGTTTTGATTCCTTGACATCAAGAGCTCAGTGGTGATGATGCTTCCCTCATGACCAGTAGTACAATGGACTAAGAGACTTTGGCTCTGCCAGTTAATAATTGTTACTTAGCCTTTTGGGATGTTTGATTCCTCAACTTGGAGCCAGATCAGTGTTCCCTTCCACCTTCTTCAGTAGACATGGTTTTGTTTTATAACTAGTTTGGGTGCAGGGGAAGACGAAGCATCCAGACTATTTATAAACTGATAGGATGTGGCTTGGTATTTCCCTATGATTCTGTTGTTTTCAGTAAATTCACAATACTTACAAGGTTTTAGTCCCAGCAAAATTTTTCCTCAAAAACCAACAGGGTAATAAACTACTTTCTTGCATTTTCTATCAAGACAACTCTTTTTGAGTTCTAAATGTTCTGCCTAGATTCAAAGAAGCTGGTTTCTTCAGGAGTGGTTGAAATAAGACTTTTCTTGGAAGCTACTGAATATGGATTAGTTGGATTGTTTCACAGGAAATAAAAAGCAGGCTCTGGGGTGACCACTTCAACACTTAATTGGGTTAGCAAAGAACTGCAAATGAGAGGTTTCCTTTAGGAGGGAAAGGATGTTTACAGCTCCCACCCCCTTAGGTGATGGATTTTAACCTAAACTCTAGTCTTTAAATGCAGCCTTTAATTTAGGAACCATTACAAGAATCTATTAGAGCAGAAAATGTCAGGTTGAAAAATTAACACATCACAGGAGCTAATTAGAACCCGGCCCCTCATTAGATTCAAATAGAGAGCCCTCCAACTGGCCAACAGCCGCTGAAGTCATGTTTGTGGCAGCTCCAAAGTGGCTGCATCTTTACCACTCCTGGCTGGACCAAGGAAACTGCCCAGCACTAGGGCCAGAGCCACTAGGGGCCCAGGCCAGGGCTTTAGGTTAACTGAAGGTTCCATTCACACGTCACTATCTTTTCCTCTCAGAAATGCTGTGCATGTCACTGTAACAAAGACAAACATGCCATGCCTGTCACCAGGGGCAGTTGTGGACTGAGTAAACCACTCCATGAGAGGGGGGCTGAAGGGGCTCCAGGCTATTCAGACTTAGCTCTAAGTTGTGGTCTTTGTTTTCTTTCCACATTCAGACTGAAATGTGATTCCCCTGGCTTTCTTTTTTGGAAAATACCTAGAAAGAAAAGCTGTTGACAGGAAAAGCTTCTGACAGGGAAGGGGCTTCTTCAAATGTTCTCATAGGAGACAGTTGCTTCAAACATGCTGAGGCAGGGATGCCAGGCCTAGAAGGAGGTCAGGATCGCAAAAGGGTCATCTTTACCTGTGGATTAGGCTAGGTGTTAAGCAGTTTCCTCTATGAGAGCAGTAACACTCACACACACACACACACACACACACACACACACACACAGAGTTTAGGGCCAGGTCCATATGCATCTGAGCCTTCTCCACTACTTACTATGTGATCTTGGGTAAATTGCTTTACTTCTCAAAATATATCTTCTCAGGTTGTGAGAAATAAATGAAATGAATGTAAGTCATGGAACACAGTGTTTGGCTCAGAGTCAGGGTTCTACATGAGTTCTCTTTTATTTTTATTGAGTTGGTAATAGTATTCTTTCACCCAGCACACATGATGTCCTCTCTGTGTGCCCTGTGTGAGGAGCAGGTCCTCCTCTTGACTGCAGAGAGTTCATTCCTTCATAAACCATACATTTGTGCCTTTAGCAGGGAGCATGCCTCCCTCCTCTTCCTGCTCTAGGAGAAGGGCCAATGTCACACTAACTGCTTTGTTCAATGGCTCAGAATTCTGCAGGTCAGCCCAGTTGAGTAGCCCTCCAAACTCAGCTACCTCCACCTGTGATTTACCCACAATTCTCTATCTGTACATTTATCACACCGAGTTACTGATGTTTGTTTATTTGTCTCCTGTGTGATCCTAGAGGATGGGGATCAGGTATTCATTTAATCTCTTCACCTAATATGTTCATCTCTGTAGCCCAAATGATTAATAGATAGTTTGCTCTGTTCATCTGGATATCTATTCTTCTGTGTAGGCTAACGGTCTCATGTGTTACTCAGCATAAGTGCTTCAAGCCAAAGAGTCACCCCTACTGCTGAGTACATTGATATCCACATGGGGACTTTTTCTGGGGAAATAACGTTGATTTCCATCTTTGAAGGACCTCAATTGGGCGATGATCTGGTTGGTCCTGTCATTTTCTCTTACTTTGGTTCTAGCCTCAGTTTGCTAATCTCCTTAAGGGGCTGATATACAGCCTCCTTCACAGAGAGGTTATGACCATGACCACAGACCTGTGAATTAATTCTAGGCACAGAGCCAAACACCAAATGAAGTTGATTACATTCTTGCCCTCAGCCAAGTTGAGTTGGTAATATAAGAAAACTAAAAATATACGACAAAATATGAGCACTACATTAATGGTACATTCTTCCAATTTATACCTACTCCCTGCTACGTGCCAGAGAATCAGCTGAAATGGGAGGGTATAAAAAGCCCCAGGAAAACAGTGGCAAGTGTTGAACAAAAAGGTCTCAGGAAGAGGGTAGAAATCCCTCTACCCATATCCTCAGACCTGGGCTGCCAGAGATGTCTTTAACACGTCTGGAAAGCAGGAGGTTGTCCTATAACTGACCTTGTCTAGTGGTCCCAGAAGAAAACAAAACCCAAAACCCAACAATAACCAAGTTATTCAGCATTTACTATGTGCCATTTACTATGTGCCAGACATTGTGCAAAATGACTTACAGGCGTTATCTCAGTTAACTCTCACAACAACTGTGTGAGGTAGACATGAACTTCCCTCAGAAGTTGGCCAGATGTTAGTTTGAGGCTTGGAGAGGCACAGTTGCTCCACCACAGTCAGGCAACAAGTAAACGGTTTAGCAATCCACCTGCTGGGAGTTTCACTGGCTAACGGTAAAGCAGAGAGAGGGTGGAGCACACAAAGCCCCTGAGGTTGAGAATGCAAAAGGAAAGTTAAATGGGTACCCAGGTGGCAAGATCTCCAGATCCCCAGAACCACGCAGAAGCAGGATAAGAAAGAAAGGAGCGCAGGTTGAAGGGAAGTAGGGCCAGGAGGCTGGGGAAGGGAGAGTCCTGGTGCTTGTGCTTCTTCTTGCCCCCAGCACATAGGTCAAGCCTCCCCCCTCCCGCCCTCTCACCATCCCAACCTTATTTAGAAACCGTGTCCCCAAGACAGGAAGGGCGGCGGGCCGAGCAGCACGGAGCGTCCCGGTCTCATTTCCTTTTGAATCCCCCTGTGGAATTTCATTTCATACGGTGAGGAAATCGGAGCGCGAGACCGTCGGCTGGGCGGCTGGTCTGCTGCTCCGGGACGCCTCCCCCGTTCGCGGCCGAAGCAGGTTGGGCCGAGTCTGGGGCGGGAAGAGGGGGGCCCAGCTCCAATCACTGCGAGTTGGGAGTGAAAATAGCTGCGAACTCGCGTTGTACCAGGCACCGTGCTACGCGTTTTACGCGTCATCGCTAATCCTCCCAAGTCACTTTAAGGACGAGGAACCTGACGCCGAGAGGTTGGACAATTTGTTCAAGGTCACACAGCCTAGATTTAAAGCCACAATCTGTGCAAATCCAAATCCTGTGTTCTTTGTGCACGTTTTTATGCTCGACGGGGAGGTGGCCAAGGGTCAAGGTGACAGCTGGAAGGAGGGCACGAAAGGGGGCATCGAGGCGACCTCACTGCTCACCTGGGACAGAGGGAGCGGTTTGGCTGGGCCAGAGCTACTAGGTTCCGTAGCCGCCTGGCCCCAGCACGCCTCCGGGTGGGAGGAAAACGAGAGTCGGGAAGCTGGCGGGGCGGGGCGGGGCGGTCCGGGGAGCGAGGGAGAATCGGAGAAGGGGGGCTGCGGGCTGAGGCCTGACCCTACCAGTGGGAGAGCCACCCCGCCCCAACCCCGCCCCTCTCTGCCTGGGGCGCCACCCCATTGGAAAGACTCTCTGTCCGTCTCGCCTCGCCACCGCCCAGAGAATCTCCAGGGCTGCGAAGGGTTGGGGTTGTGAGAGCGGCGCGGCGCAGAGTGCTGGCGGGCTTCGCTGAGACTCCGAGCAGACTTCGCGGTCGCCAGGTTATGGTCTAGCTGCCTGTAGCCATGACCCTCGCAGTCTGTCCCTCGGTCTCAGCCTCGGGCGTCTGATACCCCACACCGACGCGCGCAGCTTCCTAAGAGGCGGCTACTGCCCCCTCATCGCCCTTGGCGCCTTATCACACTCTCTTCCCCAAGAGCTGGGAGCAGCGCGGGCAGCCGGCGCCCCCGTGCAAACTGGGGGTGTCTGCTGGAGCACCCCCCGCCGCCGCCACTGCTGCCCCGGGCTCTGGCCATGGCCTGGCGGGGCGCAGGGCCGAGCGTCCCGGGGGCACCCGGAGGTGTCGGGCTCAGTCTGGGGCTGCTGCTGCAGTTGCTCCTACTGCTGGGGCGGGCATGGAGTTTCGGGGACGAGGAGGAGCGGCGTTGCGACCCCATCCGCATCGCCATGTGCCAGAACCTCGGCTACAACGTGACCAAGATGCCCAACCTGGTGGGGCACGAGCTGCAGACAGACGCCGAGCTCCAGCTGACAACTTTCACGCCGCTGATTCAGTACGGCTGCTCCAGCCAGCTGCAGGTGGGCGTCCCTAACCCCCTCCCCTGGCGTGACCCTTTGAGCAGAGATGCCCCAAACTCCTTCTGTGGAGCTCATGCTAAATCGAGACCCCTGTCCCCTTTCTAGCCTGAGGGTTACAAAACTCCTGGAAAAGTGATTTCCAACCCCACCACCACTTTTCTGTCCCTACTTAGGAACTGGAAGCCAAAATGTTGTGTAAGTCATTTGGCCTGAGAAAGAACCCACTTTTACACCCCGCCCTTCCGTTTTTCTCCCCTGCCCACCCATGTCTGGCCAAGCCCCTAACCCCAGTGGAGCTGAGGGTTATCTTTGCCAAGGATTCCAGCCACTGCTCGGTGGGCGAGTCCTAGGCAGGGGAGCCAAATGGAGTTAAGACTTGGAAGGAGAGATAAGAAGACAGGAACTTCTCCCCTGTCCCTCACCGACCTTCTTTCCTCCTTATTTTGGGGAATGAGTTATTAAATAAAATACTATGGCCCGTTTGCTGCGGAATGACCCCTCCTTGCGTCGTCCCTCTGGTTTTAGAGGTCATACAGGAAGGAGTTAGTTGGGTTGACTTGAGTTCTTTCTCATCCTCAGGGTTGAAGTAAGATTTAGTGTTTGAAAGGAGAGATGAAGTTCCAGAAGTTAGTTTGTAGTTTGGAAGTTTTTTTTTTCAGTCATTAAAATTTTTTAAACTTATGTAATGTGTAATGACAGAAATTGTCTTAGAATAATAAGTGAAGAAAGAATATGCATATGTGGGGTAATTGTAATCTTGCAACAACCAATTCATTATGGGGAAAGACTGAAAGGAAAATTTAAAAACTTAACATTCATTGGTTTTTGGTTGAGAAAACTGAGTGATTTTTAGAAATTTAGAAAAGAAAGCAGTTGAGGGGGAAAAAAAATAGAGATTAGTTGTCCAGGCTAAAAGCTTCAGAAATCTATGGTTCTGGCTGCAACTTCTGAGAGATAAGAAACAGACATACAGCTTACTTACTAGCTGCATGTTTTTACATAGGTCATTTTAAAAGTTGGATTGTGGTTTTGGAAAGATAGATGGGATTAGACCTGTTGCTGGTGGAATATCCCTTTGGAAATTTCAGAACTTTAGAACTAGGTTATAAAAGCTTAAGAAATGATCCTCTAGCTCTCAGTTTGGAAACAGCACATATCCTGACATCAGTGGCAATTTTGTTGGAGAAACAGCTTTTGCAGGGATATATATTTTTAATTACATGTATCCTGGGGAAGCAGCCAAGCTGTTTTGAAGGACAGGCCAGGATCCCTTTACATGCTGGAAAATAGTTACTTGTAACTCTAGACTTCATAGACAACATCTGTAAGGAGCCAAGGAGACTGTTTATCAATGCTGGAGGAATTGAGGACAGCAACTGGACTCTCCCCTGCTGGTATTGCAGTTTCAGGGACTTAACATTTACATTTTCCTATTGTGCTTTATTACTATTCATTGAGGAAACCCTAGCCAAACAAATCCCCAGTGACCAGAGACCTCAATCTGTATCTTATCCTTGGGTCTAACAGTGTCTCTGTTGTTATATTTTCATTTTCAATATGGGACTGATTTTTAAAAATGTAAAGAATAAAATAGAGGAAAAGAGAAAATTAACAAGATATGTGTGTGTATAAATATATTTACATTACATTTATTTTTTTCTTTAATATTTTTGTTGTTGCAGATGGACACAATACCTTTCCTTTATTTTTATGTGGTGCTGAGGATTGAACCCCAGTGTCTCTGGCGTGCCTGGCGGGCGCTTTACCACTGAGCTATAACCCCAGCCCACATTATTTTTATTTTTGAGGTGTTGAAGAAATGAGGACAAAAGTGAGCACCCCATCACTTAAATAAATGAATTATTTTATTAGACTCTTCAACTTTTTCAAATAGTAGCTAAAAAGGAGAGGGAGATTGAAAACCAGTTTTTAAAAGTTTATTTTCTTAAGGGTGATGGTGTGAAAAGGGATTATATAATTCTTAAGACCCTTCTTATTTATGTATTTATTTATTTAGTGTTCCTCTGGACAGGACTACTAGAGCCAAACTAAGTGTATAAAAGTGATGGATTATTAGGCACCCTTGTTTGAAGGCAGAGTAAACAGACTCATAGTAGGCTGGTTTAAAAGTAGATATATATATACATTGCCTGGAAGCATTCACTCAACTTTGTGCAAGCATTTGGCCAAACTTCCAAGTCATTGTTTTCTTTGTTCATTTCGTTACTTTTCCAGTTCTTCCTTTGTTCGGTTTATGTGCCAATGTGCACAGAGAAGATCAACATCCCCATCGGCCCATGTGGCGGTATGTGTCTTTCTGTCAAGAGACGCTGTGAACCGGTCCTGAAGGAATTTGGATTTGCCTGGCCAGAGAGCCTAAATTGCAGCAAATTCCCACCACAGAACGACCACAATCACATGTGCATGGAAGGGCCAGGTGATGAAGAGGTGCCCTTACCTCACAAAACCCCTGTACAGCCTGGGGAGGAGTGTCACTCCGTGGGAACCAATTCAGATCAGTATATCTGGGTGAAAAGGAGCCTGAACTGCGTTCTTAAGTGTGGCTACGATGCTGGTTTATACAGCCGCTCAGCCAAGGAGTTCACTGATACCTGGATGGCGGTGTGGGCCAGCCTGTGCTTCATCTCCACTGCCTTCACCGTGCTGACCTTTCTGATTGATTCTTCCAGGTTTTCTTACCCTGAGCGCCCCATCATATTTCTCAGTATGTGCTATAATATTTATAGCATTGCTTATATTGTCAGGCTGACTGTAGGCCGGGAAAGGATATCCTGCGATTTTGAAGAGGCAGCAGAACCCGTTCTTATCCAAGAAGGACTTAAGAACACAGGATGTGCAATAATTTTCTTGCTGATGTACTTTTTTGGAATGGCCAGCTCCATTTGGTGGGTTATTCTGACACTCACTTGGTTTTTGGCAGCAGGACTCAAATGGGGTCATGAAGCCATTGAAATGCACAGCTCTTATTTCCACATTGCAGCCTGGGCCATCCCAGCAGTGAAGACTATTGTTATCTTGATTATGAGATTGGTGGATGCCGATGAACTGACTGGCCTGTGCTATGTTGGGAATCAAAACCTTGATGCCCTCACTGGCTTTGTGGTGGCCCCTCTCTTCACTTATTTGGTGATTGGAACTTTGTTCATTGCTGCAGGTTTGGTGGCCTTATTCAAAATTCGGTCAAATCTTCAAAAGGATGGGACAAAGACAGACAAATTGGAAAGACTGATGGTCAAGATTGGGGTCTTCTCAGTACTGTATACCGTTCCTGCAACCTGTGTGATTGCCTGTTATTTCTATGAAATCTCTAATTGGGCAATCTTTCGGTATTCTGCAGATGACTCCAATATGGCTGTTGAAATGTTGAAAATTTTTATGTCTTTGCTTGTGGGCATCACTTCAGGCATGTGGATCTGGTCTGCCAAAACGCTTCACACGTGGCAGAAGTGTTCCAACAGATTGGTGAATTCTGGGAAGGTAAAGAGAGAGAAGAGAGGGAATGGTTGGGTGAAGCCTGGGAAAGGCAATGAAACTGTGGTGTAAGGCTTAGCCAGCCTCCACACTTTCTTCATCTTGAAGTGGGGTTGTCAGCATTTCTGTGGAAGTGCCACTAAAAGTTTTATGTGGTGAATGTCAGTTTGAACAAACTAGCAACACTTAAGAGATCCCCATCAACCCACCACCCCTCACCCCCACCCCAGCATCATAAAAAGCAGTGATCTTGCTGCAGACTTTGAAATTATCCAAAATGGAAAAGCCAGTTAGAGGCTTGCAAAGCTGTGAAAAATCAAGATGTTGATCACTTTAGCAGGTTGCAGCTTGGAGCATGGAGGTCCTGCCTAGATCCAAAAAGTCCAGGGTGATGCTGTTTTTCTCTACTGGGTGGGATTTGAGTGTGAGTTGGTAACTTGCAGGGAGAAAGATTAATTTTTAAATCCTTTTAAATTCTAAATACTAACTAGGTCTTTCAGATAGCAAAGTGATCTATAAACACTGGAAATGCTGGGTTCAGAGAAGTGTTACAAGAGTTTTATAGTTTGGCTGATCTAACATAAACAACTGTGGTGCACTGTCTTCTGTTTAGAACTTTGTAGATTGCACTCCCAAGAGGTGGTGTCAAAATCTTCCAGTGCCTTTGTCATAAAACAGAATTGTTTGAACAAACAAAAGTACTGTACTAACACACACAAGGTATCCAGTGGATTTTTCTTCTCTTCCTCTCTTTAAATTTCAACATCTCTGTTCTAGGCTGCTGTTGTTTTCTTCGTTTTACACTAATGACCCCCCAAAAGTTATTTTTATAGGAATATTTGCACTGCAGCATGCCTAATGAGGAGAAAAGGAAGGGTGGTTCACGTTCTGACAATCACTTAATTCAGAGGAAAAATGAGATTTACTAAGTTGACTTACCTTGGCAACCCCAGAGACCTCTTGCATTGAGCAATGGGGACTTAATATATTTTACTTTGTGTGATTGCATCTGTGCAGACGCCAGTCTGGAAGAGCTAAAATGTTAAATTTCTTGGCAACTTTGCATTCACACAGATTAACTGTGTAATTTGTGTGTGTCAATTACAATTAAAAGCGCATTCTTGGACCATGACATAGTATACTCAACTGACTTTAAAACTATGGTCAACTGCATTCTTAGAATGATAGTGCCTTTTTCCCTTGGCATAGGAATGTTATCAGAGTCTGGTCTACTTACCACCATGGAGACTTATTCAGTTTTGTAAAGGGAACTAAGGACAGCTAATCCAACTACTTGGTGCATAATTGTTCCTTAGTAATTGGCAAAGGCTCCTTATAAGATTTCATTGGAGGCAGTGTGGCCTGGAGTATTTATATGGTGCTTAATGAATCTCCAGAATGCCAGCCAGGAGCTGGATTGGTTAGCAGGGAATAAAGTGTAGACCATATGAAATGAACTGCAAACCCTAACAGCACAGGTCTTAATTGCCTTTTGCAGAGGTATCCAGAGCTTTTAAAATTTATGCTTTACGTTTCTCACAAGGGGGCACCCCCTAGCAACCTATCAAAAATTCCAGTTCTTTTAAAATTGTTAACTGGCCTTTCTCTTAACTCGCCTTAGGCCTTCTAATCACCAGATCTCTGGGACAATTTGTTGTCAGTGTCACAGGTTGCTCTTCTTATAACTCATACATGACATTTTGCTTCAGCAACTGCTTTGCAATGACTCATTTATTAATCCATGCCTTTTTAAAAAATAGGAGGAAAGGTCATTTTTCTTTTTCTATTGCACTCTAAGTTCAGAAACATTTATAGGGACTCAAATTCCAAATAGGTAATCGAATTCTGAAAATAAGCATGGCTTTTTTGTTTGAGCTTTATACCAATGGTTTGATGTTTCCCTTCCTTCTTTGTTTTTGTGTATAATTGAGCAGTCTGAGATCCAGATGTGCATAAAGTGCATTATGTGTTTGTAAGAGAAAATCTTGAGACTTTTTAGATAGAAACTTTGTGGGCCTGGGTGGCCCCTGCTGCTTCATGTGATCTGAGTACCTAGGTTGGACTTCGGGTTAGAGCTATAGGAGCATGAGAACTGATCCCGGGAAGGGCCAGTTGCCTGATTGCATTGCCTAATGTAAAATGTGAACTCCGTGCTGCTTGCAGATAGTTCCCATAGCTGTCCAGGGCCCTGGAGCATGCACCCAGGGGCAGAGCCTGCCCTTACTCACGCTCCGCTCTGGTGTCTGGGGAGTTGTGCAGACATTCTGGCCCAGGAAAAAGAAGGACCATGCAGTGGGGGAACTGGCCTTAGTGTTAGAGTAGAGGGGTTTGTTATATAGTATTCTTTGTAACATTTCAGTGATTTTTGTGACCAAGACAGAACCTAGCAGAGGGATGGGCAATATTGGTCAATGATTAAATAATAATCCTAACAATAAAAGGGCACTTAAGTGAACCTATACTACAGAGTTCTGGAGTAGTGTCCTGACAACGTTTTGCAGTTTCACTGTCTATTCCACAAATATCTTGCCTTCTCAGGAGAAGGCACATTTGATCAGAAGTAGCCATAGGTGCAGACTGGATTAGTAGTGTTGGCAATGCAACAGGGTTATAGGCCTTTCCTTTCACATTCCAGACAATGGAGTGTTTACAGTTTCAGGAAAGGAACTCTGTGACTGAGGAGTCAGTTACCAACAAACTTCAAGTGACTCCGTTGCCTCTTAAATTGATATTTGTTTAAAAAATAAAAGTCAATTATCAGCACATTTATTGAGTGCCAACTGTGTGTAAAGCCCTGTGTTAGGCGCTTGGGGATGTCCTGGGAGATAGGCTGTGTTTGTCTAAGGGATGTAGTAGGGTGGGGATGCACTTGGGTCTGCTAAACTTTGATTGGTTTTTGAAGGACTTGGGGCCTCTGGAATTCACATCTGTTTTTTCTGTTTCCTTCCCACAAACCTCTTCTTGGGTCTCTCTACCTTTAACATATCTCTAATCCGTTCCCAAGATTCCTTCCAAATCAATTACAGGGGTTTTGACAAAAAGCATCAACTTTGCTTCATGACAATTTCCATAGAAATCCCCAAGGAAGACTCAGAATAGGCTGTAAGGAAACAAGCTCCTGCACTAATATAATTTTGGGGGTAGGCAAGTCAGAGCTCTGGGTGCTCCCTGGGATTTGTGTAGAAATATTTGAAGACGGTGTCTTGCTAGAGGAAAAGTTAGATTTATTTTTCTTTCTCTGAAATTTAGTATAATAGGTATGCTTATGGCTTTCTACAAAAATCCCTCAGTCTCCAGAGATTAAACAGGGCCAAGGGCACCTCTGTCCAACCTCATCTCTGGCAGACTCCTTTCTTTGGCTTATACAGGCTAAACCTCAGGGCAGAGGAACATGGAGTAGGGTAGAACTGGCCAGAACCATCCTGTTGAACTACTTGGTTGATTCAGATCCTTTTTCCTTAATGGAGACCCATTTCCTGTTCACTGAGACTGCTTCTGAACTGGCAGCTTGCTTAGGGGCCTGAAACCTGAGAAGGGGTGACACTTTTCATTTCCTTAACACGCTTTCTGACTTTCCTTTCCCTGGTCATTCCTTCACCTGCACTTCTGCATTAGATGCTGAATTGTGATTCTATTCAACAACCCCAGCTGTATGTCTCTGGACCCCTTCGGCCTCCTGGTTATAAAATTAAGTTCTTTTTGTGATAGAACCAGGCTGGAATCTGACGACACAAAGATGAACTCAACACACTCACCCTGAAGGGACAGGCTCAGTTTAAAAAGATTTTGCCAGGAAGGTGCAATCTTTGGCAGCAGTTAGGAAAGGGAGCCACGTAGGGCTGGAGATGTGGCTCAGTGGTAGAATGCACAAAGTAAAGCATAAGTCCCCGGGATTGATCCCCAGTGTTGGAGGAAAAAAAGAAAAGGAGCCAGAGCACAGATTTTGGAAGGAGCCTTTTAAAATCTTTCTACATCCTGAATTTCATTCTGTGATGGAAGGCACTGGATAGAGTTGCTATTCCAGCCTATCATATAAGTCTGACAGTTCTCCATGTTCCTTTATTGTACTTGAGTTCAGAGTCCCTGTCTAGGTTTGCATCATATCTGGCAAAGGACCTGGGTTATCATTTTTCCTCCATGGCTAGGTCACAGATCTTGGAAACTACTAGGAGAGCATTTTGCTCCTACCTGGAAACAGATCCTAGAAGCTTAAATAATGGATTTTTGTTTCACTGTAGCCTGGATAGAGGTTTTCTGTTGCTGCCTCTTGCCATACATATGTGAAGTAATAGCATGCTTGACAGTACCAGGAGGGAAGTGAGCCACAGATGCCCCTCACATGCCTCTTCCCTGGCTAGCCTAGTTGCCTTGATAGTTGCCTGTTTCTGCTTTACCTATTTCCTTTCTTTGCATCAGCAAATTCCTAGTATTCATCCAGGCAATTTATAGAGGGCCTTTTGGGGGTCCTGTATGAGCCATATCCTCAAAGCTTTTGTACCTCCTTGATCTCTGATTAATATTCAGTCCATGACCACTGTCATACCCCATAAGGCTTCTGAAAAGGGTGAAAGCAGCTCTGTCCCACAAAGGTTTGTTCCATCTTCCCTCCCAGGTGGTGAAAAGTTTCCAAATCCTGTTAATAGGCTTAGACTCTGACTTGGCTGTGTTTGGGGAGGGGTAAGCTGCTTTCTAGAGCTCTCCCAGTGAGGCATGTCGGTGGTTCTGAATTTCTTCTACCTCACAGGGTGTTGTGAGGCTTTAGAAGGTCTAAGCATGAAGACCCTTTGAGTTCTTCATAAGAAAGACGTTAACTGCTATATTCAACCTGCTTTGTGCAGCAGTCAAGCTAGTTGGTCTGGGGCCTTTTCTTGGATCCTTATGCCACCCCACAGCTCCAGAAACCTGGAGGCCAACCTGGGGGATTTTCAGATGTTCCATATAGAGGTACCTATATATGTAACTCCTTCTACACTTTCCCTGAAAGAATTGCGGAATTTCAAAGGAAATGGACCCTGCTTTTAAAGATGTACAAAAGTATGTCTGCATTGATGTCTGTACTGTAAATTTCTAATTTATCACTGTACAAAAAAAAACTTTGCTATTTAATTTTTGTATTAAAGGAAAATAAAGTTTTGTTTATTAAGTGGTGTGTGATTTGGCGTGTTACTGAAGTGTGTTGTGGCCCTTGGGAAGCACACATACTCAGCAATGAGAAATAGAGGATCCCGTTTGCAGGACAGATTGAGAAATGCTTTCCGAGAGCCTCTTTGTTTCTTTTTTTGCTAGTGCTATTTTTCCCCTCTGGGATTTCTCCTGGGTCAGCAAACCCCCACAATCCAAGGTCAACAAAATTTATCACCACTGTGGTCATCAGGAGCACTCAAGTGGATCACATGATGCTTTGGATGTAACTGTAGCTCTCAAGTTGTTATCCCAATGACACCTTTCTTGGCATTTTTGGGAGGTGGCCATCTTTACCTTCCCAGTCCCACTGACTTAATTTGGTGGTCAGGAAAGTTTTCTTATCACCACTGCGGCTTCAATCTTCCAGAAAAGGGAAGTCTCTCCCCAACCCTATTTAAATTTCTTTTAACTTTGAATTTTTACCATTTTTTTTTCTGGCACATAATTGTTCTGTTTTGTGTAATAGACATGCATGAGTTACACCAGTTAGTCAAGAAAATGTCTTCCTTAGCTAATTTTATAAGTTGGGTGGTCTATGTCCCTATATCCAGAAAAGTCATCAGACAAAACACAATCAAAGCAATTATCAGGAGGTTGTCATAGGATCCAATAATATTGTGGACCACACAGAGAGGGAAGGAGGGCCACTGCCATTGGAGATATCTTCTGATGTCCCAAATGAGATCAGCTCTCTTGGTTGGCTTTTAAATTGCTTCCCACCCTTCAGCTCCACTTGAATACCATTCGTCTTAGGTGAGTAAAAGCCCAGTGAACAAGGATTTGCAATACTACTCTCCTTATCTACAGATTGCTATTGTATTTTTATCTCAAACCCTAACTGAAGGGAGGTATGTAATTTAAATTCTCTTCCCTATAAGACAGACTGTGTTTCTCGTTCCATTACCTACTCATTAAGTAGTTATGAAGTTAAGGAAAAGTCAACACAATCTGGAATGAATTCATAATAATCCCTTGCACTTATAGAAACACTTTCCCAATAGAAAATGCTTCACACAATTTTCTTTTATTCTGTTGGCATTTCTGAAGTAAGGCAAGCCTTATCTGCCTTTAGAGAGGAGAAGCCAAGACTTACAGAGGGCAAGGGTAACCCAAAGGGGAGTTAGTAGGTTGGGTAGTCAGAGCTTCTGATTCCTAGCTCAGAGTTTTGTTTTTATTTTACACAGGATTTCATTTTGTTTTCATTTTACATTCCTACGGGTTGCACTATGTCCCTCTGAAAGTTATGTTGGAGCCCTAATCCTCAATACCTGTGAATGTGACCTTATTTGGAAAATAGGGTCGTTGCAGATGTAATTAAGTTAAAATGAGCTCATACTAGATTAGGGTGGGCCCTAATCCAATAACTGGTATCCATCTTATGAGAGGGAAATTTAGACACAGACACAGGAAAATGCCATGTGAAGGCAGAGGTTGAAGTTACACAGCTGCAGACCAAACAAGAAACCCCAAGGACAGCTGGAAGACAGGCATAGAGGAGTCTTCCCTAGAGCCTCCAGAGGGAGCCAACCTCGATTTCAGACTTCTAGCCTCCAGAACTGTGCAAGAATAAATTTCTGTTGTCTTAAGTCATCCAGTTTGTGATAATTTGTTATGGAGACCCTAACTAATACATATTCAATTCCTTTGATTTCTTTAGTGCAAGTAGTTCATTGAGAGTGGGTAAATACTTTGGCAGACATCTCCCTTAATAATAAGAACTGACCATGAGCTTCTATTTTTTAAGGATTATGTGGTATAATCACTATAGTAAATATCATTATCATAAACTGGACACCTCTAGAGTAAGCCCCATGATCCCTGACACAACTTGTTTGAACTCTTGGCTGATTTCCCACCCACCCATTCCCCAACAGAATCTCTATGTGCAGGGCCAGGACCCTAACTGGAATGTGGCCCAAGGATTTTTTAGCATTTCTGCCCTGAGAACTGATTTTTTCTTTTTCCCGTTTTAGCTTTCACAAGCAATCATAATTTTAAAGTTGAGCTGACTCTTGACTAAAGAGGTCAGCCTTGCCTCCTGTTTTTAGAGGTTCTGTGAACGGAAATAAACTACACTGGGAGAGGGATTTGTCCTCTCCTCAGTTTTCCTTTGCAATGCAGCTGAGTTGGTAGTACTGGGAGCATCTCACTAAATGTCCTAACAATCTACTAGACCTGCAAAGATTTAGTCCAAAAGGTTTTCCAAGTGGATCTTGGCATCACCTGAAATTGCTAGGACCACTCTGTCCTCTTCCTTCCGTGTCTTTGATCCTAAGCCTAAGAGACCCATGAATTATTTCATCAGCCTTCATGGTGAAGGATTCCAACTTCTTAAATTCCCCAGAGAGAGAATACAATATCAAATGTATTACGTTTCTCATCAATTGCCTGATTTTCATTAGTCTCCTATCTGGTTTCCTGTTAGCATCTATAGGGAAGTTTTAAATTCTTCCTGTGAAGAAGTTTAGTCTGAAATAAACCTACAATAGGACAAAGAACATACAAATTTTATTATGTGCCTAAGTGTGAGAACCACACACACATTGAATTTGAGACGCAAAGGGTGGCAGAGGTGCGGGGGCAAAATAGTTGAACCTTCTATAGAGCTTAACAAAGATGTAGGGATTGGGCCCTCCAGTGAGAAGGAAGGGGATGCAGATGATGGAAGGTTATGGAAGAGAATATGCATGGCCCATGAGCAAGCGTTGCCTTCTTAATGTGGATGAAGTCTCCCAGGTCACCGCCTTCTGAGGCAATCTCTATCTGGGCTAGGTGCCACACCTCCAATCTCTCTTTCCTCTGGGGGTCTTCGCTAGGCAGAAAGAAGGAAGGGATGTCAGATGGAAAATGCTGTGCCTATCTCCTCTGTTTACTAATAAAGCTAGATATAAATTTATTTTAAGGTTAGCTTTTCAGAGCTATTGCATGTGTCTGCAGAGGTCCGCAGTTTCTCTGAATAACCAACTTGATGTATGCCTAAGAAACACATTTGGGGTGGGATTCTTGGATCTCCCTCACACCTAATCCTATTTTCACCCAAGAGCGTGTTTAATCTCATGGTTAGCCCACATTATCAATGCCTTTCTATTATAGAGATTAAATGATTGGCTATCTAAATTTCCCCAAATGCCTGAGGATTATATCATTTCACTTGATATGAGGTCAATGGCTACAGTATAAAGGCATGAGATAGAATTGATAAGTCACATAGAAGAACCTGTCCTGGTTTTCATTATTTTCCTCTCACCTCTTGCCCATGCATATGTACTTTTCCCCTTTGCCTGGAATGTTCTTTCTGTCTTTCTTCAACTAGGTTACGTTTCTTCTTCCTTCAGGGCTGAAGTCTGTGTGGCCTCTTCTGGGAAAACTTCCCTGAGTCTTCTGACTGTCACTTCCTGCCTTCTTTCCTTCTCACTACTGATTGGTTTAAGCCTCTGCACCTCTGGCTCTGGGAGTGTGGCTGCACTGTTTACAATGGTCTCTGCAGGAGTCTGTTTCCCTTCCTGAGCTCCCTGGCCACCTGGTGCTGCTTCTTGTTGTGTCTCCACAGCCTGGCACAGAGCACTAGTTTAAGGAAGCTTTGAGGAAGGGAGGAAGAAAGGAAGGGAGAGAGGAAGAGAAGACAGGATGAATATAAAGAGAGGAATGGAATAAAGAAGAAAAGCAGGAAGGGAGGGAGAGTGTTACCTTGTTAGGTAGGGCACTGAGGATCTTTGGTGAC